CTCAATTTTGGCAAAAATAGATACAAGAGAACATTCACCAATTCAACAACTTCTACATGTACAATTCAGTGCCATTAATTATACTCCTCATGTGTACAACCGTTGTTGTTCTCCTTCTCTAGTTGTCCCACCACCATTCAAATGAATTCAGTGTCCCGACCAACCACTCTTCCTCCTCCTCCCATGGTAACCGGAGGTCATGTAGGGTTTCTTTCTCTTTTGTCAGTAGTAGTTTCCTTGATATTCTTTCCCTTTTTCTTAGTAGTAGTTTTCTTGATATAATAGTCACATATCACACACTCCATAGTTAAACCACTTCTCAAAAGAGTTGTATATATAGTGTCACCATCAGCTCTAGTGCTCCTTCCCTGCTGCCGCATCCACTGATCACTCCCCAGTTTCTAGTGCTCCCTCCCCCACCCTGCTTCGCGATCAACCATTGTATCCATTATTATATCCGTGCATCCCTTCTGTGCTTCCTAAACTGGGAGACCTAGCAGAAAAACAAAACCAAAATGAGACAGAAAGAAGAAAATCATCATCATCATATAAAGATTAAAAATACTGAATAAGAAAGAAAAAAACCCACCAATACTATTTAAAAATTCAGAGACAAAATTTCTGTCATGGAACATACAAGAAATACCTGAGCCTAGAGAAAATTCAGCTTGGGTCAAGAGGGAGGTCAGCTTGCCAAGTATCATATTATATTGTGGTTCAGTTCACCAGAACCAGGGTTACAATAAGCTCTGTCTGATGGAAAAGCTGTCCCAAGTCCCTCACCTGTGGAGGAAAATACAGGATCTGCCAGAGACCCCATCTGTAGGTCTGCTTTTCATGATGGTATTTTTGAGGATGAGCACGTCTCTTCCTATCCTTACTGCTTATTTTCATAGTGGCTTAGAGAGTAATCTTGGATGCCTAAAGAACATTTGCTGACCTTGTTTTATTATGCTGAATCAATATACTACCACGTGTCTGAGAATTATTTAAGAAAGAACAGTTGATTGGCAAATGAAAGGAATCTCTGGGCCATGCCTCAAACTGGTGGGCTTGTAGGACTACGTAACTCTAAGGTGCATAAGGTTTGACTAGCAACGGAGGGTTATATTAGCCCCTCTGGTGGATGCCACTGGACCTGCCACTTCCCATAGCATTTGACCTGCCCTGATTCTCAGATTTGTATTTCCCGCCTTGTCCTTGCAGGTGTTTGGGCACGTGACTCCATCCTAGAGTGGCACACAGGAGGGTCTAAATGCTATAGAAGGAATGGAAGAAGCTGACTGGCACAGCCCCTTCCTTGGACTTCTTCCTCACAAACCTCCTCTTAGAGCTTGCGCAGCCATGAGAACTGGTTGTGGATCCAAGTAAAGTGAAATCCTTGATAACTGACTGGCACAGCCCCTTCCTTGGACTTCTTCCTCACAAACCTCCTCTTAGAGCTTGCGCAGCCTATTTCCACTCTCGCCATCACAATGACATGCTGTCTTTCCTTCCAGGTACTACAAGGTCAGTGTGGTGCTCATGTGCTTCATGATCCCCACGCTGGTGCCCTGGTACATCTGGGAAGAGAGTCTGTGGAACTCCTACTTCTTGGCCTCCGTCCTCCGCTATACCATCTCCCTCAACGTCACCTGGCTGGTCAACAGCGCGGCCCACATGTACGGCAACCGGCCCTATGACAAGCACATCAGCCCGCGGCAGAACCCGCTCGTTACTCTGGGCGCCATTGGTGAGTAGGGTGCTGAGAGACAGTGGGGAGCGTGGCAGCTCGGATTTCTCGTGGCTTCTGAATTGTTGCATGACATCTGTGAAGAGCTGCAGGGGAGTGGAGTGGAAGGAGCTTGGCCTTTGGAATTAGAAGCCTCGATCGTAAACAAGTCACTTTATCTCTCTGATATGGTTTTCCCAACTCTAAAATAGGACTAGCAATCCCTCCTCAATGGGGATGTTGCGTGGACTAACGAAAGTGCTGGAGGGAAATCACTCAGTACAGTGCCTGGCATCTAGTATATAGTCGATGACCAGTTGCTATTGAGTCTGCCCCTGGGTGGTACAAACTCTTAGTACTCGGCTGCTAACTGAAAGGTTGGCAGTTCAGATCCACCCAGAGATGCCTCTTCAGGAAGGTCTGATGACCTATTTTGAAAAATCAGCCATGGAAATCCCTACAAAGCACAGCTCTACTCTGACACACGTGGAGTGGCCATAGATGATCATAATTGGTAGCTTTTTTTTAACCATAAAAGCTTTCCTAAATAAGCAGAAGTTGACTTTCCCCCCAGCCTGCCATTTGGCAGGATGGAGAAATAAAAAGACCTTCAAGCAGAGAGATGGGATGAAATGAGACCCTGGTATCATGCAGTGACACACACATGGTTAAGGATGACTAGTTTGATCAGATCCCAGTTTCCCCACTTGTCCTTGGGGAAGTTATCTGACTTCTCGGCGCCCCTAGTCCTCATTTATAAGTGGGAATACAAGTAGCACCTACCTTTTCCCGGGGGGTCTTTGGAGGGTAGATGCATCGCATTTGCAGCAGCACTTAGCACAAAATAAACCATCAATCATGTTGATTTTATTCCTAGCAATGTGGTCTTGGGCAAGGTACTTGTAACCATTGTGGTTTTACCCCTGCCTTTGTCACATGGCCATAACTCTAGTAGCTAGCGTGGAGGAGTGGGGATTATAGGAGTTAGTGACCATTAAAGCTCTTAGGTTGGCTGGTTGAGCCCACTCAGAGGCCCTTCCAAAGTAAGGCCCGGGGAGCTGCTTCCAAAAGACCTCAGCCACGAAAGCCTTGTAGTTGCTGTTGTTGTTGCTTTCAACTTGGTTCTGCTGCGGTGACCCTGCGCACCACAGAACACAAACTTCTGCACCATGCTCACAATGGGTCTTATGTTTGAGCCCATCGATGCCATCACTGTGTCAATCCATCTTGTTGTGGGCCTTCCTTCTTCTCATTGCCCCTCGGCTTTGCCAAGCATGATGTCCTTCTCCAGGCATCAGTCTTTCCTAACAACATGTCCAAAGGACGTGTCTAAGGAGCATTCCGGCTGTACTTCCAAGGTTGATCCATTTGTACCTCTGGCAGCCCATGGTACTTTCAAAATTCTTCACCAGCACCATAATTCATAAGCATCGATCTTTCTTTGGTCTTCTTTATTCAGTGTCCAACTTTCACATGCATACAAGGCCACTGAAAATTCCATGGCTTGGTTCAGGTGCACATTAGCCCTCAAAATCATATCCTTACTTTTCAATACTTTAAAGCGATCTCGTGCAGCAGATTTACCCAATGCAAACGTGTCTTTTGATCTGTCTGCTGCTTCCATGAACATTGATTGCGGATTCAAGCAAAATGAAATCCTTGGCAACTTCAGTCTCTTCTCAGTTTATCATGATCCAGTAGTTCGGAGTTTGATTTTTTTTTTTTACATTGAGTTGTCATCGTACTGAAGGCGGAAGCCCTTGATCTTCATCAGCACGTGCTTCGAGTCTTCCTCACTTTCCTTTTAGCAAGCAACGTTCTGTCATCTGCATATCACAGGTTGTTAAGCAGCCTTTCTCCATCCTGATGCCCCACGCTCCTTCATGATTGAGAATGGTGAGAGGCTACAGCCCTGAAGCACACCTTTCCTGATTTTAAACCATGCAGTATTCCCTTGTTCTGTTCACAGACGGCCTCTTCATCCTTGTACAAATTCCATAGGAACACAACAGAGTGTTCTGGAATTTTTCTCATTCTTCTCAAGGCGTTAACCATGGTTTGTTATGATCCACACAGTTGAATATCTTGGCATCGCCAATAAAACACAAGTAAACATCTTCCTGGTGTTCTCATTTTGAGCCGAGATCCATCTGACATCAGCAATGACATCCCTTGTTCCACATCCTCTTCTCAATCTGGCCTGAAGCTCTGGTAGCTCCCTGTCAATGGACTGCTGCAACCATTGCTGGATGATCTTCAGCAAAATGTACTTACCTGTGATATCAGTGATACTGTTCTATAGTTGGAGCATTCTTTGGGGGGAGGGGCAGTTGTCCACGTAGCTGTCATGGGGGCTGAGCCCTAAGGCCCCTCTGGAATGCCCTTTTTTGAAGATAAATGCAGTGTCATTCTTCTTAAAGCTGTCATTCCTGGCATCCCGACTTAAAACCAAGCTATTTCAGCTCACGATTACCTAGAATGTTGGTCTTTATGCATTCTATTTAATTTTTTACAACTTCCAGTTTTCCGAGATTCATCCTTCTAATGTTGTGGGTTCAAGTAAATGGCAGCCACTATATGTCTTGATGATTTAGAAGCGTCTTTATTTGGTTATAACCAGACTGCTAGACTCTAAAAGCGATTCTTTGATTGGAGTCCTGAGTGGACGTTTCAGTCTATCTTTGAAGACAAAAGCTCACTTATCATTTGTCTAGGACTTAAGCATGGACAAGAGCAGAAAGCAAAAGTGATGTCATTATTCTTTTGCCTTCGTGAGTGTGACAGGGCACAACATTGATTGTCATCCTGGTTAATAAACGAAGACTAGTAATATCCTGGTTACAACATCAAAAGGAACAAAATTATTAACTACAATGTTCTGATTTTGGGAACATAAAAGTACATTTTAAAATCAGTCACTAGTGGGACTTTCTGAGATGGGAGCGGGAAGGAGGCAGGTCATTCAGCCAGTTAACAAGATGGCGCTACAGTGGCTAGTGCTAGCCTGTCTCATATATTCCAAGGTTCAATTATTACTTGATGTCTGCAGCTGTTTCTTCTCATTTTGAGTCAGCCCCCATCAGCAAATGAAGGTTCTGAAGGCTTTACTCCTGGAAGGCTTGCTCCATCTGCGTCATCATGGTCAGCTCTGCTTTGAGAAGGCAGCCCTTCCTCAGTCATGTTTTTAGTGTCTTTTGACTTAGGGGACCTTCTTCTCACAGTATCGTGGACAAGGTTCTGCTTCTGTTCAAGATCTGACAACGTTACGATGTCATCCATGAGGTTTTCAGTGGCTAGTTCCTCAGAAGTACATAGTCTCTTCCGTCTTCATCGTCTGGAAGCTCTGCTGAACACTGTTCACTGTGGGTTTCACTGCTGGCATTTGAATACCAGTGGCCTAGCTTCTTCCAGCAACACCCAAGCCACCACAATAAGACAGACAAGCAAAAACCTTGTAGTAGGGTCAATTCCAGATAGCTATGAGTTGGAATTCACTCAGTGGTAATTGTTTTTAAAGCCCTTACAACTGCTTTAACGAATAAATATTCTTTGGTGCTTTACAGAAGCATCTCAGGCTTCTTGGCACCCTAAGCCTTCAGCTCAGAAATTACAGTCAGGAAGGACAGTTTCTATTACTAAGTAGAAACGGTGACTGCTATCATTCAGTGATGTGTTTCTGCTCCACCAATTTTGTTGGGGGCATCTATGTATTAAGGTACCAGTGATCTTAATGGTCTTGCCCACTAAGGTTGCCAGCAACACAGGTGGGAGAAAGACCAGATTTAGCTATGAAATAATTGGGAAATTAGGGAGAGTAATGACTACAAAAGCAGGCAGAGGAGTTCCCTGACTTTGCCTATTGATTTCCCACCTTCTCACCCTTCGCACAACAGAGGGGCTGTCATGAAGGGGGTAATGCCCAGAGTTAATTCTGAGAGCAGAGTAGGGATGGATGGACCACCACCATCTGCTATGGGATGCACAGACTGAGAGACCCAAGGAGTGCAGCTGTGGCCCAGACCCAGTAGCTGGTGATTAGTGGCAAAACTTCCTGGGTCAACAATTAACTCTGTTTGCTTCGTACAACCCTTAGCAAGTTCTTGTTACACCTGGGTAGCAAGATGGGCAATGCCACCATCTTAGAGCAGTGCCCATTTCTGAAAAAGAGGGAGCAATGACTTCTCTGAACTGAAAACACTAAAGCTGATGGGGTGGCGGGCAAGGTGGGGAAGTCATAAACGACAAGGAAACTGCAGACTTCCTATTGATCATCTTGGCTCTTCACTGCTGAACAGAATCCTTCAAATGTACATTGGCAGAGAACTATATTGTGAACAGTGTCCACTTAAGAAGCCACTTCTTATTTTTAAAAAAAATTCCCATTGCCATCCAGCCAGTTTCAACTCACAGCAAGCTAGCCAGACAAATTCGGACTGGCCCTGGGGCTTCCGAAGGCGGAAAGCTTTGCTCAGGTGGACTGTCACCTTTCTCTCCTGTGGAGAGACGGGTGAGTTCTCACTGCCATCCTTTTGGTTAGGGAGCCAAGTGCTTTAACAGCGGCACCACCCGGACTTCTATGGGTGCTCAGGGGGCATTGGACGTATGTTAATGGTGGCAAGACTATTTGGGAAAGGATAGGGACTTGAATAGTGTAATCAATGTCACTGAATTATATATGTTGAAATTTTTGAATTGGCATAGGTTTGGTTGTTTATTTCTTCACCACAGTTTTTGATAAGAGAAAGAAGGGAGGACCCTGGCAGCCATCAAACTGTTAAATATAGAGTTACCTTCTGATCCGGCAATTCCAATCTTTGAAAAAACATATGTGCACACAAAAACATGCACAGGGGATTTTAGTAGCAGGAGCCCTGGTGGCATACTGGGTTATACTGTTGGGCTGCTACCAAGGTCAGTGGTTCAAAACTACCAGCCACATTCCTTGGGAGAAAGAGGAGGCTTTCTACCCCCAGAAACCCTCAGGGGCTGACATACTCTGTCTTATAAGGTCACTATGAATCAGAATTGACCCAATGTCAGTGAGTGATTCATAATAACCGTACACACAAAAAGTATAAACAATGCAAATGTTCATAACTGATAAATGGATAAATAAGCTGTGATATACCCATCAATGAATATAATTCAGCTATAAAAGGAAAGAGGTTTCAATATATGCTACATCTTAGGCAACCCTTGAAAACTGTGCAAAATGAAAGAAGACAGTCAAAAAGTACTGTATATTGTATGCTCCCACTTACAAAATATCCAGAATATGCAACTCTGCACAGACAGAATGTTATATTGGGTGATTAGTGTTTGCCTAGGGCTGGGGTTGTAGGGGGGTGGAGGTGAGGGTGGAATCGAACTGACATCTAAGGGGTAGGGGATTTTCTTTTGGGGGTAATAGAAGTTTTATAAAGTTGATTGTACTGATAGCTGCACAGCTCTATGAAGATACTAAAAATCATTGATCCGTATACTTTTAAATGAGAGACATATATGGTATAGGAATTATATCTCAGTGTAAACTATTTTTAAAAATCCAACGAGAGAGGTTGTAAGGCCTCTCAAAAACACTAAAAGGGAAAGTGTGGAGGTGGGGGAAGGAAAAGGTACTCACTGGAAGTTGAATATCGTATGGATCACTGCTGGTGATGGATAGAACTGATCTCTAATTCACTATCTAAGTTTTCCTTTAAGGGCTCCACCCCACAGGGCGGGCTGGTCTTCTTTTTTAACTGTGAACATTTTCTTGTGGTTTCAGTGAAAGTTTACAGAGCAAATTAGTTTTGCATCCACCTCACACCAGTGGTTCTCCTAATGCTGCAACCCTCTAATACAGTTCCTCATGTTGTGATGACACCCAACCATAACATTATCTTTGTTGCTACTTCACAACTGTAATTTTGCTACTGTTATGAATCGGGCGACCCCTATGAAAGGGTCATTCAACCCCCAACGGGGTCGTGACCCACAGGTTGAGAACCGCTGCCTTACACCCATTGTGTTTCGTGACATTACCTACAATCCTCTCACTGTAACAGCTTCCTTCCGGCTTCCTCCTTGGGCTCCCTGCTTTCCACTCGGTCCTCTTCCCTGCCCCTTCTGCTTTCTGAATGTTGTTTTGGGCTAAGGCTGCCTTCTGGGTCTCACGGTTTATTGTTCAAAGGAGCATGCTCCTTACAGGTGTTACTGTTTATTCAACAGGCTTACCTGTTATTGGGCTGGAAGGCGGTCTCTGGGAGTGAGTTCAATTACAGGTTCAAGGTGCACACGAGTGGGATGATTTGTCTTTATGTCCACACATCAGAATGATGATCTGTTAGTGGACATTTAACGTTTAGCTTAAGTGTAGCTCTAAAGTCAAGGCATCCTTTCTCTCATTTACATGGGGGAAATATAAGCTTGAGCGTTTCGGCTGGTAACTTGGTTGTTGGTTTTGTTGATGTTGTCTAATTAGTTGTCCAGCCAACCGAGTGAGCTTTGGTGGTTGGGCGGTAGATGTCATCACTCCTTCCATGAGGGGGACCTGGGCTCAATTTTCAACCTCAACATGCACTTCCCGCACAGCCACCATCTCTCCGTCCGAGCCGGGCGAGTGGTGCAGTGATGCTGAGCAGATTTCAGCAGAGCTTCCTAAGGCAGACTGGGAAGAAAGGCCTACTTTTCACCACCCAGTGGATGGCAACAGTTGGGCCTGCAAGTGCTCATGGGAATGGCACAGCCTGGCAGCCTTTCATTCTCTTGCACACGGGGTCCCTATGGGTCAGGGCCCACTCAGGGCTAGCCAACAATGCACAGCCAACTCATAAGTCGTTCCTGAGAGTGGCACCCACCCAAATCTTTTGCTCGGTTGGATCCTCCAGTGAGCCTGGCAGTGCCTTGGTCATGACAGACTTTCCATAAGTGGGTGATTGGTAACTTTAAAAATGTGTGGCCAGGAGATGATTGAGTAATTTCAATGACCACTTTGTCTTTCAGGTGAAGGTTTCCACAATTACCATCACACCTTCCCCTACGACTATTCTGCAAGTGAATTGGGCTTGAATTTCAACCCAACCACCTGGTTCATTGATATCATGTGCTGGCTGGGGCTGGCCACTGACCGGAAACGGGCAACCCAGTCAGTCATCCAGGCCCGGAAAACAAGGACTGGAGATGGCAGTATTTGAACCTGGAGCCGCCACACCACATGCCTGCTGCTGACATCTCTGATCATTGCTTGTGCTATTGTCGTTTTCCTGTCCATTGGATTGTGGGAGGGGGCTGGAGGGTGGGGAGGAGGTGGAATCTATGAAAGAGCTTTCTGTTTAGCTCAGAATAATGTTTTAAGGACAGCTAGCTGTGGAAAACATTTTTCAGAAGTCAGTGCAACTATGATTTAACGTTAGCATGTGGACATGTGGTCTCATTGCCGTAGTGCACTATGTCCAACATACATCACCATGTGCTCCCAAGTGATGTTCACCCTGACTGGATGAAGGCATTGGATGCTCTTTCAGGCTGACTCCGGAGAGCATTTGTTTTCTTTCATCCTTATGAACCCAGCATCGCTGTGCAGCACAGTTTCCGAAGGAGCAGAGAGGCAGGGTGGAAGACAAAAGGGGAGTGAGGGTCGAAGTAGTCATGCAAGAATGTTTCTGTTTGGCAGTTAGTATGTGCACATTTGTTTTGTTTTGTTTCAGCAAGAGAATGGACAGCTCTTCAGAAGGAAAACACAGGAAATGGCTCTACTATCACGAATGTGTGTTTGGGGCTCTATTTACAGCTTGTAAATGCCCTGTCTGTGCTTCAAGTGGGGTTTGTTCGCCGCCCGGCTCGTTTTGTGTCCCGAGCTGAACTCCCAGCAGTTCTATGACTCGATGCTTGTAGAAGTGTTTGGTTTCGTTCTCTCTGATATTGTCATTTTAAAGGCGTATAACTCAGACATGCCAGACATCGCGTTAAGCTCACATTAAATGCTCATTTAAATGTTTAGACACCTAATTTATATTCGAATTGATCCTAGCCAGTGATGCATGTATTTGAGCTACATCTGTGAAATAAGCATATTATTAATTTTCCACTCGAGACCATTGGATCTTAATAACCAGCAGTTAACTAGAACTCATTGTCTGATAATGTTTTACCTGCATGCAAGCCTTCATTGATTTTGACAGCAAAATATAAGTGAACATTATGTAGCTTCTGGATTAAAAATAATAAATTCTTGTGTGTTAGGTTGCCTTGTAAAGAGCATGTTGAAATTAATGGTATACCACACCTTTGTGTTAGACGTTAGATCAGAATGAAAGGTGGACAGATTTGGTATTGAAGCACTTTGAAACTAGGGGTTTTTTCAGGAAAGAAGTCGAATTTAACGTTAAAACTTAACTTTGGGATAAGAAATGCTACCACTAGGAAATTGTCATAATGAAGTTCTTCATCCAGCAGGTGTTTAGGAGTGTTACTTTGCCATTAATAATGTGTGGACTATGAGTGGTTTACAATAAATGATGAGGAATTCATTGGTGTGCTTGTCTAGATACTCATATGTTGGAGAAAGTTCTCTCAGCGGTGCTAGATGTTCAGTGATGTCCGTCCGATTTCACATTTGATGGGGGCTCTCAGCTAGCAAGAGCCCCTAAAACCCGACTGCTGCCACTGCCTCCATTGCAGGCTAACCAATCAGGAAGCCAGTTGGTTTCGTTTGGAATGCGGCACACCTGATGGGCCGTTTCCCATTTCTCAGTCAACAGCCTTGTTCCCTGCACTGCTTCCTGCTGCTTGATGAGAACCTCTACTCCTTGTCCCCAGTTGATGCGAATGGCTCACACTAGACTACCCACAGAGAGGTTGGTGGTTGAAACTTAAAACAGCAGCACTGCAGAAGAAAGGTCTGACAATCTGTTTCCGTCAAGAATACAGCCAGGAAAACTCTATGGAGCAGTTCTGCTCTGTGGCACTTGGGCTCACCAGGTATGGGAATTGACTCCACAATCAGGAGGTTTTGTTTTGTTTTTAATGGTTTCTTTACTCCTGCAAAGGAGCCCTGGTGGCATAGTGGGTTACCGGTTGAGTCGTTAACCCACCAGGTCAGCAGTTCAAAACCACCAGCAGAAACATATGAGGCTTTCAACTCCTGTAAAGATTTACTGTCTCAGCTATCCACTGAGGCAGTCCACGCTGTCCTATAGGGTTACTATGAGTCAGAATCTACTTAGATGACAGTGAGTTTGGTTTTGAGCTCCTATAGGTTACTCAGGAACTTAAAGGATCCCTCCCTCCCTTCAGGGCCAGCTTACTCAGTAGGCAAGGCAAGCATGAGCAAGTCCCTACCTATTAGTAAGAAAGCACAAGTAAGCACAGGCTTACTGGGTACTCTGTCCCTGTCAGGGCTGGAAACTGGAAACCAGGCTTTGATTCGAGAGGAAGGTGTGGTATGGTTGGAAGAGAGGCAGGAACCAGCCATACCCAGAAGCAGACTCCGATGTGTAGATAATGAATGAAGGTGAAGTTGTTCAGTGCAGATGACTACGTAACTCTGGCTACCTTGTTCTTTGGGGAATCCAACCCTGCCTCCCCCCATGAGCCCCACTGGGCTCAGTGGCACCAGAAAGGGTGTGATGGGCTCCATCTGGGCCCCGCCTCCCCCAGGTTGGTCTGTGCTTCCTGAGTCTGCCCATCTTTTGCTCCGGAGCAGCTGGGTTCCAGCCATCATTTGTAGACTTCTGAGCTGCCTGCAGCTGAGTGGGATTCTGGCCATTGGTGGGTCCTGGACCAGATCTCATATTATAAAGCTTTCTTGGGTGGGACCGTGGCATTTCCCAGCTGCGTTCTGGTCCAGTCAAACTTAAAAAGCTGCCCCGCCGAAGACCATGGTGCTGAGGTCGGGTTTGGGTAGAGTGTAACCGTGTTCCCGGTGAAGTTTGTAGGAATGGACCAAAAATGGGCCGAAGTGGGGAGGTTTCTGGGAGCCTTGGAGTCTTAAAAGTACCAGATTTGAATAGATAATTCTGACCTTAAAACATGCCTGTCAGTTTGAATTTACTCCTGACTCAAATCCGGAACAGCACAGAAAGAAACTATTCCTCCCAAAGCCCCAAACCAAACGCACTGCCATCGAGCTGACGCCGACCCTATAGTACACGGTAGAACTGCCCTGCGGGTGGCTGAGACTCTTCACTCCGTACGGGAGTAGGCAGCCTCAGCTTTCTCCTGTAGGCTGGCTGCTGGTTTCAACCTGCTGACCTCTCGGCTAGCAGTCCAACATGTAACCCACCACGCTCCCAGGTAACCCTAATAAACCCAAACCACACCTCAGTGAAGCTGCGGACAGCCTGTTTACCTGCAGTGCTATCCTTGCGTGACCTCAGGCTGGTGATTTGCAGGCAGGTGGTGGACAAAGGTTCGTTTAGTCCAGTGCCAACTGTCCTGACAGTCCCTGCAGGTCTGAGCAACATGGAAGGGAAGAAGCAGCCCTGTAAAGACCTATCCCAGACCCATCCCAGGCGGCCCAAGAGGGATTGGTGCTTCTTTTGAAAGGTTGAATTTGGGTGAAGAAGACATGCTAGTTTCTTGCCCTGTTGCTTGCCTTTCATCTCCACAGCTCTGCGTGTATTTTGAAACCCCCAAGTGAGGAAGCCAAGGGGAAGCAGTTCCCATAGGGAATATTCCAGCATCATGGCAGCCATATGGTGCTATCCCGCCAGGGGATGCCAGCCCAAGTCTGAGTCAGCCAGGCTGCTGGCCAGCTGGGTAGCTTTGAGGACATAGGCTTTTCTCTGCATCTAGTTTTTGTCTTTTGAAATAATCTGTGAAAAGAAGGGATTAGAAGCAGTGGTTCAGACTGAATCGTGTCCCCTGGAAACTGTTTGGTAAGTGTGAGGGTGACCTTGTTTGTAAAGAAGCCTCTGATGATGCTATCAGTTAAGATGGTGTGAGGGCATACAGGAGTAGGTTGGGGCCTAGTCCAATCTGGTGGTGTCCTATGGAAGAGATGCTGAGAGACAAGCAGAAAGCAAAGACGAAACTGAAGAGATAACAAAGGCTCTTTCTTTAGAGTCTTCAGAGAGAATCTGACCCTGCCCACACCCTGGATTCAAGCTACTTGCCTCTAGGGCCATATAGACTATCGATTCTCTTCTCACAAGTCCCCTAATTTGGGGCATTTTTGTGCGGGCAGCCTGAGGAGGACTCTTAAGTTTTCCTATCATCCTAACATCCAAATGATAGCAACAGATGCTCTCTGATGCTTGATTTCCGAAATGAAGCACCTCTCAGCGGTTAGTCATGCCCAACCTGGAAGGGCAAGGCCAAGGGGAAAGAATGGAGTCCCAGGGGTAAGACACACACTGAGGCTGAGAGGATAGCACTTTCTTAATGGCAATGTGTATGTTCACATCTTCCCAGCACGCAATGAGGCAATACAAATAGAATCCACTATGAAAAGTAATTTAATGAAAAAAAACAAACAAACCCAAACCAAACCGAGCTCAATGCCAAGTCATGGATGGCCAGCCTTCAGGCAGGGTAGGACTGCCCCTGGAGTTTCCCAGACTGTGACTCTTACCGGGAGTTAAGAAAACCCTGTCTTTTTCCCTCAGAGCTGCCAGTGGTTTCGAATCACAGCTTAATGTATAACCGTTTATACCGCCAGGACTTACTGAAGGCATACCTGGGCCTTATAAATGACAACGGACTCCGAGTCCTATGTTTGAACTCCACCTCTTAAATCTAACACCCTGTGTGACCTTGGGAATGCTTTTAGGCTACACCCCATGAGACCCCCGTTTAGCCTCTCTGGTCACCTCAGTGTCCTCATCCGCAGAATGGGGACAGCGAAGCTTATTTGCATGCAGTGACTGGAAGCACAGGCACGGAGCAAGCACTCGTCCTCGCAGGTCCTAGGAGACATCAGGTGAGCAGTCAGCTCCAACAAGACAAATGGGATGCAGGACAAAGAGCCCCAGACCAGAAGTGAGTAAGGCCGGCTTCTCGCCTCCCTTTTTTTTTTTTTTGAGAAGATAATTAAAGAGCATTTATTTTTGGCTGGGATTTTTATCTTGATGATGTAAGTAGCTGTTGTTCCCACCCCCCACCCCCACTATTATCTTGCAGAAGGGTTAATACACTGAAGGTTATAAAGTGGATATGAACATGTGGAAGATTTGGAACTAACATTAACCGACAAGGAACAGTTTTCTTGTAAGCCATCGTAAAAATGTTTAAGTAAAAAAATAAAAGAAAAGGTAGGGGGAGTGAGGGAATCAACAGGAAGTTCAGGTTGAACAAAATACTCACATTTCGTGGAACACATTCAATCCTGGCTACAGTGTTCACACAGTGGAACAAGACTACTATACTACAACCCCCCACTACAGCACACTGTCCGCGGCTGTGTGCCAGGCCCACGCCCTCCCCAGATGCTTCCAACTCAACTATTTCCCAGTCCGTTGCACCTGCCGACGAAGGAGCACTTCGATCTTCTCCTTAGTCCAGTCTCATCTCCCTTTTGCTAATAGCCAGCCCCTCGGAACGTTCATGTTCCCTTCTGCAGGGCTCAGATGGCGCAGCTGGTTGGTGTGCTTCGCTGCTGATTAATTGGAGTTTACCCAGCGGTGTCTCAGGAGAAAGGTCTGGAGACCTACTTCTGAAAACCCCGCCCCTGCCACCCCTGGGGAGCGTCAGTCTACCCTGACCCACCTGGGCTCGCCCTCAGGTGGAGTTGACTTGCTGGTGTGTGTGTGTGTGTGTGTTGATGAGGATGGACTGGATGATGTTATTCAGCTCTGCCACGTTAGGGGTCTCTCCTCCCCTCCTTCCAAAGACCCCAGCACACCCACAGGGTCTTCAAGCACCGTGCCTTCGGTCTACTCTTTTGCTTGTCCCTCCGGCCCTCTGGCCTCCACGCCTCCTTTAAAGGACATGTCTGACCTACGGCATCACCTGGGCTCCCCTCCGCTCATGTTTCTCTTCGTCAGGAACTTGCAGGAAAGATTTGTGGAGGGACAAGGGTGAAGCTCGTGGGTGAAAATGCATGCGGAGGCTTACTTGGGACCCTGATGTATCCATTTCACGCTTGTTCCCAATTACAAAGGACACTGAAGTTCTCAGTTCTCAGTGAAAAACAAGGAAGGAAAGAAATA